TCAAAAACATCATTCATCAACATGCAAACATTCATAAATAACCTCTATCTACTTTTCATACTCGATTACTAAGTAATAATTCTCAATATTCATAAACTTAACCTTTTATAATCAATATCCATAAAAGCATTCATAAATTTTAAGCAATCATACATAAAATCATATATATTCATTAAAACATAACACATTCAACATTCCTTTAGATACATTCAAAGGCAAACATATGAGTTACTAGTCACTAAAAGCATCATCATCATACTCGATATATACATCGATACTCGCATAACAGAACAAACATAAGATATGAATATCTTAATAAGTGCAACATGGATTACTTTACATTAAAACCTTTCATTAAATGAATGCCTTTAAAATTCCTTTTTCTCATTTAAGTCCGTTGGAAGAAGCTAACTTAGTGCACCATAGGCCTTAAGTTTAACTTTTCCTTTGTGGGTAAGTTGCCTCACTATGGCTATTAGGTTAGTAGGGTCTAGTCTCAATAAAAACATGTAGTCTACATTAACCTCAATACTTCGAATCAAGCTTAACCTTTAAACCTCAACATATAAGCCTTAATAGGAAATCTCAACTTTTAAATCAAAATATTTAATCTCAATAATTAATTGTTACTCGTAACATTAAAACCTCAACTTGTATTCAAAATATTTGCCACCATAGAACATCATTTACATATGCACCTCATTCATTTACTTAAAATATTTCATGTCATGATAGTTAATATATAAAACATATTTATGCATATAAATGCACCTCAACTCTAGTGTAAGTTAGTTACACTTGATTCGTTTAAAATTATTGTTTACGGTAACCTTTCTCTAATGTCGGCACCTCGACTTAATTCAATACCTTGAATATACACATCATATAATATAAGTAATTGAAATTCATCATATAACTCTAACATTTAATTTTATTAGTTCTTGTTCTTTCTTGTAATTTCTTTCCTATGACATTTAGTACTGTAATTTTCTATTAATTACTTGTATCTCTTTACCCAATTATGCTTCATCATCAATTAATATTCAATTTCATCCATTGAACTCAAATGTTAGAGTTAAATCATCAATTATACTCCAATTTCATTATCAATTCTCAATTAAATCATTAACTTTATTCTAATTCACTCAATTCTCCTTTCATTCATCCTTAATTATATTCCTATAACCTAATTCTTCATTCTTTTCCAAATTTCTTTTCAATTCAAAATCCTAATTAAATCATCAATTTTTCATTCATTCATCTTTAATTGTATTCTTATACACTAATTCTTTGTTTTTTTTTTTTTTTTTTACTTTCTTTTCAATTCAAAACCCTAATTACATCATCAATTATACTCTAATTCACCTAATTATCTTTCCATTCATCTTTAATTGTATTCATATAACCTAATTCTTTATTTTCCCAAATTTCTTTTCAATTCAAAACCCTAATTTTATTAAATTTTCAATTAACTTCCTCAATTCTTATTTAAATCTACTTAATCATCAAATATTCACTATAAGTTTAAGATTCTAACATTAAAATATAATATCCATTTAATCAATTCTAAGTCATGAAATTTCTTAATTCAATCTTACCTAAAATCATATGAAAATATAACCAAATTAAAACTTTTTCATACCCCGAATGTTTAATCACCAAAACCTTAAGTTCTCTTCTTATATCTTTTATTTCTCTTCTCTTCTTGATCAATTATATTGCCTCTCTCTTAATTTTATGTTTTTCTTTATGGTGAAGATAAAGTGGGAGGATTAAGGTTTGAGAGAGAGAGAGCAAGAGGAATAAAGAGAAATGGAAAAAAATGACCAATTCCCATCTTTTTCCAACCTTTAAAACAAGGACCCCAATTTTTTTACTAATAATAGGGGGTCTTTAAGGTTATAGGACCTGTTCTTGCCTAGGAGAATATATGGATAGATGTTGTATGGGAATGCTAGCCCAAGGACAAAAAGGAAATAGGTATATTGGGCCTTTAGAATTGTATTATCAATTATAGAAAATAGAAAAACGCTTTTGACAAAACGAACATGATAGGCAATGTAAAAATGATTAGTTTTTATGTCAATATGATGATAACCTAAATAAGATAGGTTGTATCCAAGAAATAAACATGAAGTAGAACAAAAATCCAATTTATTTTTATTATAAGGTTGTAAATAAAGATAACGGAGACAACTAAAAAATTTTAGAAACAAATAATCTAATTTTTAGTTAAAAACTATCTCAAAAGGTGATTTATTTTTAATAACAAAAGAAAGCATCCGATTAATAAGAAATAGAATAGTTTTAAAAGCAAAATGCTAGCATTTTTTAAGGACACTTGCCTCACCTAACAATGTTAAACCATTTTCAACAATATAGCAATGACTTTTTGCAATAGTGCTATTTTGTTTATGTGTGTGAGAACACATGATATATTGAACTATACTAATACGTTTAAAAAATTTATTCAAACTATAAAATTTTCCATCCGAATCAGCTTGTCACTATTTAATTTGAAAATTAAATTGGTACTCATTCATTTTTTTTAATTAAAGAAAAATATCAAATACATAATTTTTTAACGTAGAGAAAAATACCAAATAACTTTGAATAATGATCAATAAATATGACATAATACTTATGACCATCAACAATAGTAGTAGGTGATGGTCCTCATACATCACTAAAAATTAAATTTAAAAATCTAATATTAAAACGAGGAGAAGAAGTTAAAGGTAAACAACTTTTACTATTAGACGAGCATAAGTAAGGACTAAACAACATAGAAGAATTTGATAAAGTAGTATTTGATAAAATAAAATATAGTTCTTTATTATGCGGATAGCCTAATCCCGAATGCCAAATTTTGGATATGTGTAGACAAAGTACGCGTGAGGACTAGACAAAGTTGAAGAAGGAGACATAACATATAGATTAGCATCACTTAGTCTTGAAAGAAGAGGTTTTTTTTATGCGCTTAGTCCTTTTAAATAAAAAAAAACGAATGGTGAAACTCTCAAAATAAATTATTATCACATGCCAATCTTTTAACGAAAGTAAAGATCTAGTAATATAGAAAATATGAAGAACAACAAATAGATTAATGATTTTATAAGTTATGTGAATTTGACTAGTGTCAATATGCATAATAGGTAAGTACTCACTATTGCCAACTTGTAATAGATTAGGTCCCCGATAGGATTTATAAGTGTTGAGGCTTGTCAAGTCTAAGTGTCACATGGTGTAATGCCACGGTGTCAAGACACTATGAATGAACATGAGGAGCAAAAGAGGAAAAAGTCAACAAATTAAAAAAAGGTTAGAACGGTTGAAAAATAGCGGTGTGGGCGGTGTAATGCTATAAGGTTCCATGATGTGCAAAACTAGCATTTATTTTTAAGCTTATTTTGGGACCAATTATCTCTATTGTTAGCACTAGAGTTATTAGCATACTTGTTGGAATATCCGACACGCCCCTACTATAAAAATTTATACTCCTTACACGATTAAAATTCCCAATATGTTCATTAAAACTGCCACTAGCTTTTCGAATGAGATTAGTAGTTAGTGAAGTGGGCAACATGCTAGTACTTGGCACAAAAAGATAAGAATCAAATTGGAATTCGTAGATCAAGAAATCATGACTAAGGATTAAGAGACATGTTCGTTTTGCTTCCTACACAATTTTTGTAAGGTTAGATGGAGAAGTAAGGGCACTCTCTAGCATAGACAACACTTCACATAAAGTAGTGTAGTCAATAATCATTAGTAACACATCAATGTACATAGATGCAATACGAGTGCTCATAAATAATTGATCTTATTGAACCTAACTAGTGTCTACTCGAAGAAGATGGCAAGAAGGAAAGGTATTGAAATCATCAATAAACCCTGAATTGGCCTTGTCCAAATAGGAATGGTTTCATATGAGTATGCTAGAGTAAGAAATTAGTTGTAGTAGGTTTCAAAAAGATGAAGTAGTGAGCGTTTATTAACTAATTAATTGGGGGTAGAGTGTTTGTTAGTTGTTTGTTTGAGGCGGTAAAGTATTGTTTGAAGTAGCCATTTGTTGTTGCTAAAAACTAAAAAGGAGAAACAAAAGACAGAATAACTATTAGAAAGAAAGAAAAAAAATAAAAAATACGGGATTCTATCTTTTAGTTCGACACTAAATTGATGTAAACAAGAAGTTTGAATAAATAAATATTTCTCTCTTAAGTTGTATTTAGGTTGAAATTCTTCTTTTATAGTGATTACAACTATTGTATTAGCAACGAAACAAACTAATAGACTTACGGGGTAAGAGTTCCTATCTCTATCCACTTAGTATTATATGAAGATGGTAATAAATTGTTGTTAAGAGATAACCCCTTGTGAAAGCCAAAATTGTAGAGGCCGGAGGTTGTTGCTGTTATTGCTTTCTTGAATTCGTCAGCTGTCTTAACAAGTAACAAATATCGATTTTTTTTTTTACTTTAATATTTTATAAAAATAAATGCTAGTAAGTTTCATTATATAAATAAAACTCTTTGAATTTATAACAACTCATGTCACTGTTTTGAAAAAAAAACATTTAAAAAGGGAAAATTTAACTTCAAACGTGAATCAAAATCATATACCTCTTACCATTCCATAAAAAAATAATAATAATAATAATTAAATCAAATAATTCTTTTTTGAACAAAATATCTAATCTTTTGATTTTAGGGCTCTTGTGGACCCAGCTGTGGCCCAGGTGAGATTTCATTTGCAGTTCCAACGGTAATTACCTATTCGGCCTTCCATTTCAAAGGACTTTTGGGCCATAAAGCCCACATTATGGATTCCAAATTGTCCCCCGCTCTATCTCTCTCTCTCTCCCCCTCCCTGCCTTTACCAGTCTAGTCACTCTTTCAACTAACTCCAATACCCTTAAACCCTAAACCCCTCATTCCTTCTTCCTTTCACCCCTGGTATCTCTCAACGAACCGAAAAGGTGCCGTTTCCCTGCTAAGACAATGGGAAAGAAGAACAAGCAAAAGCAGAAAGTATTTCTCCCGCCCGAACTCCCACCGGAAGTACCAGACGATGAAATCGAAGTCTCCGACGAAGACTTACAATTCGTCAACGAGAATCTCGATTACGCTGGCTTCGTTTCTGGCCTAGACACCTCTTCTATCGACAAGTAATTAATTAATTATTAATCTCTTTCTCAATTTAGATTTATAATTAGTAAATGATTTTGATTTTAATTTTTTTTGGTTAGGCATGTGACGCGCGTGGCGGATTTGAAAGAAGATGCATTAGAGAGATTGTACGAGAGGCGGTTACAGAAGAAGAAATTGAAAGAAAAAGAGAAGGAAGATGAGGAGAAGGAAAGTAGAGTTGAAGTTGATCGGGTTGATGCTCTTCCGGTGAAGAGTTTCGACGGAAAAGTTTATTACCGGACTCGTAATTAACAAATCTTTATTTTATTATTTTTTTATTTAGTTATATGAGAAGTTCTTTTATTATTGTTTGTTTTTTATTTTGATGTTTTTGTTGTAGTGTCGGAGAAAAAAGGCGGAGATGTGGGGGATGGGGAAGGGGAAGATGGTGGTGGGGATAAGGGAATAGTGAAGTTGACAAAAGCGGAGAGGAGGGCAAAATTGAAGAAGAGTAAAAAGGAGGCGAAGAAACTTGGAAAGGAAGTTGCAAAAGCAGAAGATGTGAAAGAAACTCCGCAAGCTGCTGTGCTGGTATTTTCTTTTTTTGTTTTTTTTGGTTTTTTTGGAATTGATAATGTGATTTTTTTTTCTTTTTTTCTGCTTGTAATGTGTAGATATTGATTATAAGATAATGAGAATCATTAAGTGAAGTAAGCTTGCTTCTTGCTTTGTAAATATTTGGTTTTTCTTTTTAAAGGTTGCTATGTTGTGCTTGCTTTTTTATGGTCTATGGTTTGTCTTATTACACGGAATTTCAATTTTGTTGAGAACTCTCACTAGAATTTCTCACTGTAGTATGGGGATGAATTTGATATTTTGCCTTCCTTCTTCCAGAAAATAATTTTTCTCAACTAAATGAGTTGCTGAAAAGAATGAAAAATTTACCTTTGTTTTTTTTTCCCCTTATAAACAATCTCTTTAAAATTTGTATGTAGAAGCAACTGTCCTCGTGAACTTTATATGTTCTTGATCATGTTAAGAGGACCCAGTATTTGTTATTAGGATCATGTTGGAACCATGATCATTCTAGTTCTAGGTTGAAATTGTTTGGAATAGACTGGATATCCTGTACTTACATCATGTGGTTCGTCTTGTAATACATTCTGTGTTTTTTTAATAGGCTGAGGTGAAAGAAGATCTCACAGCTGAAGCGACATTTGAAACTAAGAAGCATAAACTTGCAGAGCTTGGAATAGCATTGCTGGCAGATCCAGAGTCCAATATAAAATCTCTAAAAGAGATGCTACAGTTCTGTCATGATTGTGATGACGCTATTGTTAAACTTGTACTGCTATCCTTGTTGGCTGTTTTTAAAGACATTATTCCAGGGTACGCCTATGATGATCTGCTGTGGTTTATTGCTTTATTTATGAAAAATGTTTCTTTCATTGCCTGCAAAACTATTGCAACTTCTTACTACTGTTGTGAATTGATATGACAGCTATCGGATTAGGCTTCCTACTGAAAAAGAGCTAGAAATGAAAGTTTCCAAGGAAGTTAAGAAGATGCGATTCTATGAATCAACGCTTTTATCTGTATACAAGGTTTGTCCTGGAACTCCTTTTAATTGCTATTACAAATCCCGTGCTGGTTGACTTCTCCTGCTGGAACTTGAATTCATTTATGGCTTCACCATGATTGATTTTGATTTGTTTTTCCTAATAGTTCTGTTCAATACCTTCTAACAGGCATATTTGCAAAAGTTGGTAGTGTTAGAAAAACAGTCCAAGTTTCAGCATGTGGCTGTTCGTTGCATTTGTACTTTGCTAGAAGCTGTTCCACACTTCAACTTCCGGGAGAGCCTGTTAGCTGCTGTTGTAAAAAACATAGGTTCCCAAGATGAAGTCATAAGGTTTCACAATATTTCTTTTTTTCTTTTATCATATTGTCAGAATCTTCTTCTGTACTATAATGTAGGGCATTGAAGTAATAAGATTTAAGTTGCAAAGTTCGAAACATGGATACAATTTTAAGATAGTGTAAAATCAAACACGTACAGAAACAGAAGCTTGGTATTTGTGGAGAATCACAGAAGAAAGGGAACCCTTGATTAAATCGTTAATATGAATCGTTCTGCATTCTCAGTTTGTAAATAATAACTATTCCTCCCTCCTTCCTAGTTTCTTTGTCCATGTTTCTATTTTTGGCTGTCCCAAAATGTTTGTCTAGACACTGTAAGAAGTGTTTAGTTTTTTCATCATACCCCTTATTAGAACGATATTATTGTGTTTTTTAATCTTTGTGAAAAGTCAAAAGGGACAAATAAAGGGACAGTATTGGAAGGTTGGAGCAATTTTACATTATGTGGCACTATATTTGTCATGTTTGCCAATCTTTCTGAAAATTCAAAGAGGGAAAACAAACTAGGATGGAGGGAATAATTGATGTTTTTTTATCATTATGTCCTTTACCAATAAGATTGTTATTACCACTATGAAGGCAATTTCTAGCAACTAACTATAATATTTTGTGCTTTGTGCAGGAAGCTTTCTTGTGCTGCCATTAAGTCAATTTTTGTCAATGAGGGAAAACATGGTGGTGTTGCTTCTGTTGAGGCTGTTGAATTGATAGCTGATCATGTTAAGGCTCACAATTGTCAATTGCATCCTGACTCTGTTGAGGTATAAAATGAAGGCTTGTCTTAGTCGTTTTTGTGCATAATATGCATCTGGTAACGACTTTAGCATTCCTCCTCTAAATCAGTTTACCATTGAAGGTGGCTTTTCCCTGTTTGAAAATTAAATAATCAACTGAAGTGGATCTGTTTCAAGAACAGTTTTGATTTGGTTTAATTAATGAGCTCATTTTTGGCTGGTTTTTTCAACTGGATTTTGATTGATCATATAGAATTCTAAGTCCAGTAGTTGCCTGTGTCACGGGGAGGGAGAGGGAGAAGGGAATCCCTATATAAAGGGGTTGTGTAACATGCAAGAGAGTTTAATGATTATGTTTTCCATAGGTTGACCTGGTTTTGAATCAAAGTCCCTTTTCTGAAACTTCTTAGATGGAACCTTTGTAAATCTTTTTTCCACATTTGTGGAAGCATAGGGGCATACTAGAAACACATCATCTATTTAGAAACATTTTTAATTTGTAATATCTTTCAAGGAACCGTCTCAACCCAAAAGCTTAAGTTGTTAGGTGAGGCCTCAAGTTATGATTTATATTATTCTTTAACACACCCCCTCAAGTGAAAGTCCTTTGGGCAAGTTAACATATCCTAGGTGCTATTACATTTCGTAATGTTGTGGGTGTAATTTGATGATATATATGGAGAGTTTTCAGATACATTATTGACTATTACCAGAGGCAAGTTTCCTGCTTCATTTGATCCAGTTGTTACCTCATTGTTTCTATTGCCAATCCTTCTTAGGTATTCATGGCCTTATCATTTGACGAAGAACTTGGGAAGCCTGAAAAACCAGACAAAGACAGCAAGGTTAAATATAAGAAAAACAGAAAGAGAAAGAATGTTGAGGAGCCAAGTCAATTGCAAGAAAATGACAGAAAAAGAAGTAAGAAAGAATCTATGGCAAAGATGAGAGAAGAGGTATTGGTTCTTTAAAAGCAGTGACTTGTTATTTCTTGTTTTGCATTAATAATGGTCAAGAGATTTACATTTATATTGCTTTACGCAGGTTACTGCAGATTATAAGTCTGCTGTTTTTACCCCAGATGTAAAGGAGCAGAGGAGGATGCAGTCAGCTATGCTTTCTGCTATGTTTGAGACATATTTCCGCATCTTGAAGCATACCATGCAGTCAACCACAGCTAGGTTCATTCCTGAACATAAAATGGCTTTAAGAGTGGGTTTGGATTGCAATATGACATCATTACATATAAAAATGGGTTCTGCTTTTTTTTTTTTTTATTAAAAAAATGTGATTGGAGGGGATGCCCTTCCTTGTTTGGATAAATAAGAAGGAAAATGGAGGATAAATAAATTTTCGTTGTTTGGATAGAAAAGTGAATGGAAGGTAATAAATATTAAATATCATTAATGTCCTTTGAGTTAGAGGTAAGGGGATGCAGTGACAAAGAAGATTGGAAAGCTTTATTTTTCAAAAGGATGAAGTTGAGTTTTTCAAGAGGATAAAATAGTAAGTTAATGTCAGAAAATTTTTAAAGCTATTTCCTTCCTTTCCATCACCCTTCAATTTGGGGGGAATGAAGGTTAAAAATTAACCTCCATTCACCTTCCCCTTCATTAAAAAATTTCTTCCCAAACAAAGTTAAGATGTCATTAATTTCCATTCCCTTCCCCTCCTTTTCTTTCCCCTTCATTCACTTATTTCCCAAACAAACTGTAAAATGTTGGCCATGTCATTGTTTCTAACACTATTTATAGTACTTTACTTCAATTTCTTTTCATGTAAAGCTTCTTACTCACGTTTATTTATTTCATTATTCCCAGTTCTGAAGCAAATGGTAATTTAGTTGCTGATGCATCTGGGGCCTACCCCCTGCTTGCTCCATGTCTCAATGGATTAGGAAAGTTCTCCCATTTTATTGACCTAGATTACATCGGAGACCTAATGAGCTATCTGAAAAAGCTTGCTACTGGTGGTGGTAGCTCAGACAGCTCATCTGAGAAATGTGCAAAGGGTCTGACAATATCTGAACGCCTCCAATGCTGCATTGTTGCCTTTAAAGTGATGAGGAGCAACCTCGATGCCCTGAATGTGGATTTACAGGGTTTCTTCGTGCAGTTGTACAATCTCATACTTGAGTATCGGCCTGGAAGGTTTGTATTGTACCCACTGCATAGGAAATCATCTCTGTGGAAATTATATGCTAGTTAGCTGCATTGAGAGGGTATATAAATTATTTCTTGCATGCTTTGGTACAATTGCTATAGAATTATGATTTAACTAAGCGACATATGGTTTTTTTGTGGGTTTTCACCAACTTATTCAGTTGACCAGTCTAAGAAATGGCCTTTTGACATATGTAAGAACATTTTAGTTGTTCTTTCAATTGCTTTGATTATGTTGTTTGACTTGCGCTTTTCTGATCAAACAAATGGAATAGCCATTTACAGTTGTTGATCTGTATGTGCTCTGGTGGAGATATGGACTTAATACATATTATGCATTTTTTTTTCCCTTGTAGGTACAATATGTGATTTATTTATTTATTTTTAATGTACTCATGCATCAATTGCTTGAATTTTCTCATTCTGTTTGTAATACATTTTGCAGAGATCAGGGTGAAGTGCTAGCGGAAGCTTTGAAGATTATGCTGTATGAAGACCGACAACATGACATGCAAAAGGCAGCGGCATTTGTAAAACGATTGGCCACGCTGTCATTATGCTTTGGATCAGCGGAGTCCATGGCTGGTAAGCTATTATTTGATAACCCAGCTAACTAGTTACTAAAATAGTTTTCCCTGATTTTGTTTGTCTTAATATCTTTGCTTGTCTTTGCAATTTTTGAAGCTTTGGTGACTCTAAAGCAACTTCTTCAGAAAAATGTCAAATGCCGGAATCTGTTGGAAAATGATGCAGGAGGTGGCTCTGTTTCTGGTTCCATTGCAGTAAGCTTTCTTTCTGTTTTTGTTCAAAGATACACAAGTTTCTATCATGCCCCAACTTCATTCCAACAAAGCTTTTGGGCTTGCGCCATTGACTCCTCTCTCTCTCTGTGCAGAAGCATCAGCCATATGCAACAGACCCGAATTTAAGTGGGGCACTTGCTTCAGTTCTCTGGGAACTCAACCTTCTCGCCAAGCATTATCATCCTGCCATTTCAACAATGGCTTCAAGCATTTCAACCATGAGCACATCTCATAACCAAGTTTATCTTGTCGCCATGACTCCTCAACAAGCTTTTAGGGATCTGTCTCTTGAACAAGAGTCATTCAACCTAAAACCTGATTCAAGAAAATCAAATCACAAGAGTAGAAGAGGAAATGGGTCTTCCAAATTGGCTAGTATTGAAGAAAATGTAAACAGCACAAGCTCACTCAGCGAAGATGATTTGAGAAAGAAACTTTCTGATCATTTCAATCTTCTTCGTGACTTTAAGCAGAATGAGAAATTGAGGACAGAATTAGATCGTACAACGTCAGCCTTGCAATTGTATGAAGAGTATAAGAAGCTAAAGAGAAAAACAGGAAGGCGAGGTATCAAGACTGGAGGTAAGGGAGTTTGATATTGCATTCGATATTTTGAAGGTGTAAAGGGCAGCATGAAAATTGACACCGTTCTGTTTCATTCATAAGTATAGTACATCTTTTCTCCCCTTCCAATGTTCGCTCTACCATTCAACATTTAAGATTTTAGAATACTAAAGTCTGCCTTTGTTTTGGGATACCATTTACCTCGAATTATGAAATATGAAATATATTCTTCCATAATCAAATATACATAATGAACCTAAATTTTCTTCAACAAAATGGGTCCTCGATCAAATAAAGAGCATCAGAGCATCTACCTATACGTTCATGTGATAAATTTAGTCCATGATGCCACTTCACTAGATAGGAGAAAAGACGAATGTCATTCCAATATCCTTCCTCTACTATCTTAGGAAACTGGAGCCATTAAGATTTATATTTGTATTACTATAAAAATTATCATATAAACCACCTCTAGGCAATAAATTCATTATTATATTAAATAAGAGATTATTTTTAACTTTTCTTTTTTGTCCTCCCAATCACAAATCATGGAGAGCATCCATCAGCCCAACCTATGGAGAATATAATCCTGTTATGAAACGATGAAGGTCCATTTCAATATTTATATATTTTTCATATCTTCAATATCATAATTCTTAATATGATTCAATTTATTATTCAATATGAGAAATTGAAATGATAATGCAATTGATTCAATAATTTATGTATTTCTAATTATTTATAGCCCTTTTCAATTCTCTTTTCTCTTTTGAAGTTTATAAATAAGCTTGATTGTCCATTAGTTTGTGTACAAACATTTTATAAAGATTGAGAAAATTGTTTAGAGTTGTTATCTTTTGTATTTTCTTTATTCCATATTGAAATCATTTCTTCATCATTTTTCTCTCCAATTCTATCATTGTTTTCATTTTTTTTATAACGCGTTGTCGGCATGATGTTCTAAGCAATCGAAATAATGTACCATAAGGTATGTATCTACTAAAAGATTTAATCATTTGTTTTAACCATTAGATTCTTTTCTACACAAGTGCTCTACTAAAAGATCTAAATAATTTAGACCATTAAAAGACATGTATCTAATTTATCATATATTGTAAATCAAATGATACATAGACTATACATTTAAAAAACTTAAATAATTTAAGATATAGAATCTAATGATCTAATATATATTGTTTGAAAAGTTTAAATTTTATTATTATATTTATCTTTATTTAAATTTTATTACTATATTTTGTTTTTATTGTCTAATATTATTATTATTATACTTTGCATTATAAAATTTTTATAATATCAAACCTCATAAAACTTGATTTTATGGCTATTGACATTTTGGACAAGAATTATTGATTATGAGTGCTTGATACCGAGTAAATATTCTCTATTTTTCATGTTTTGAATATGCTCTTCTAGCAAGCATATCGAGAAAAAGAATTTAAAAAATATATTGAATCGATTTCATACTTACTCATGGTTAAATAAAATAGCAATCTATTAATGAAAAAGAATAAATCTTATCCGACTAGATCCACTCCATTCCCCGAAGTGAATATGAGAACTTATAATAATTTTGGACACGAACGAAGACGTGGTCATAGTTATGGACGTGATCAAAATAATTATTAGTATAGTCCGATGACCATAATAATATATCTCATCACTAGAAATGGATAAACTATGAAAAAAAATAAGAAAAGAATAAAAATGGATCAATTCGGTATTTTGAAATGAATGTTATAGTTCGGCACGAATGGATATTGTCGTGTACTTATCGTGCACTAAAACATCTCATTGAGCCTTGTCAAGCCTTGTTAAAAAAGCAAGAGTGAACTATAGCGGTTAACTAGATTTTTTACTCGCGACTACTGCTGCGAGTAGGATAAAATATATAAAATTATTTTAATTTGATACTCGTTTTATGATGTGAATATATAAAAATATATGAAATCAAAGATGAAAAAAATATTTTAAATTATTTAATGTAATTTGAAATTAAATGGATGAGAATTTTTTAAAAATGACAAATTAAAGTAGTAAATTTTAAATAATAAAAAAAATCAACAAAAAAACACAAACAAAATGGAATTAAATTATAATACAATTAAAGTTTGAAATTAAAAAATATATATATTGTATAAAAAAAATTGAGGACCATATAATTTAAAATTAATTGGATGAGAAAAGAATGAATAACATTAAAATAAATGAAAACTATCATTAAATGTAATTTTAAATTAATTGGATGAGAATTTGAAAAAAAGGCAAATCAAAGTTATAGATTTAAAATAATAAAAAAATTAAAAAAATTAAAACAAATGGGCTTAATCACAATGAAATTAATATAGTTAGACATATATACTCTCCCTCTCTCTCTATCTATATATATATAATATTTTTTTTTTACTTTTTAAATGAGTTTTTATTTTTTTACTCAATCTTACCAAATTCAAAATGTTTATTTTTACTCCTATAATTTATGTTGCATTCTTCTTTTTTTAGAAAGTTTAAAATCTGGAAACATTTTATTTTTAGAGTCTAATGTCCTTAAAAGAGATATAGATGACTTTTATCTTGTATACATGTACACTTCTAGGAAGTAGTTTCTTCTTTGTTACCACTTATTTTTTTCTAAGTTAAAATAGTTAATCCAAACTCAGATTTTATCTTGGCCACTATCATCCAGAAGATCAAGAAAAGAGAGACAAAATTTGTTAATTAGCATATGATAGTAAGTTCTTTTTTTTTTCTTTTTTTTTTTCATTCTCTACTCTTAATGGCTATGGCAGCTATAATTACTACACTAACACTCACTCTCACAATCACAACAAAGGGATGGTTTTTTCAAAAGTTTTTTAAAACAAACACATAGTAAAAGCATTCAACGTAATGCATATGAAAAATAAAAAAATAATAATAAGCTCGAAATTATGAGTGGTTCTCAAGTTATAGACACCATTCATAAATTCGAGTTTATTTCTTTATTTATGTGCATTCAATTGAATGCTTTTGCTATCTGTTTGTTTTTTTTTAAAAAAAATTAGAGTGGGCTTGATATATCCATTAATACGGTTCAAAACTTTTAAAAGGGATTGTTACAGTGAGTATTGATATAGTACTTATCTTTTTTTAAGACATTGTTGCTTTTTTCTTTGGACAAAAGTAAAGCGGAAATGCTGGGACAACCACCAGTTACAATGCATCCAACAGGAGGACAACAACCATTGACTCTCTGAATTTTTTTTTTTTTTTTATACCCTTTTGTTCTTATCTTTTTTTCCAAATATTAGCCTTTTAAATTTACTGACAAGATTAGAGGTGTTCGTTATTCTGTTTAATCGGAAAAATATATCAAAAAAACAATACCTTAATATCATTATGATATATGATGTATTGAAAGTATTTTTAGTCTATTTACGTTATTTTATAAAACTGAAAAAAAGTGGAAAAAATTCAATTTAAATCAAAATCAAAAACCGAAATTTCTAATTTTTAACCAAAAAAAATGGAATTACTATTTATTCTAATTTGATTCACAAAAACCAAAACTAAAATATTACAAAATTACACCAAAAAGCCAACTGAATACCGTTACGCATGCTAGCTAATTAATCTATCATTGATTTTTAATTATCAATATTTATAACCGTATATATATTTTATTTTTGTAATTGGTGTTTGCGTAATGGGTGTTTGTTAAGTTGATAGTTTTCTAGAAAATACATAAATAAATATTTAGTTATTAAAAATAAACAACATACACTCTATGTGAACTATATAACAAATTAATTAGTTGTCCAATATCATATGCTTGTTCAGCTTGTCTATCATCACTACTTCAACTTAGCTATTCAAATAGAATTTAATCTCTTTTAATTTTGATGGTGACACGATGTACTCTAGAATTAGAAACCAAAGTAAGATTCATGTAAAAAAGATGGAGATGGATGAGATATTATTATTGATGAACAAAAAAGGAAGAAAAATAAGCAACAGCACATTGAGCGACAACAAAAGAGATAGTTCAAAAAGAAAAAGAAACAAGCACATATAAGTATTGATAGAAATTAAATCTCTCCATCCCAAAGCTCGTCAACCGATTTGTAAGGCCCTTTCTCAGAGACGAATTCGGATGCCGCATATGCTTTTTGTTGCGGAATTTGACTTATCTTTTCTAACTCCTCTTGGCTCAATCTCCAGTCAAATATGTCCAGGTTTTGCTTTATCCTCTCTTTGTTGAAGCTCCTAACAAGCACGCTTACTCCTTGCTCATATACCCATCTAAGACAAATCTTCACACACACAACCAATTAAGTATTAATTAGCTTCCATCGTCGATCATATATATTCTTTCTTTTGAGGCCAAACAATATATCTATATATATATAGAAATGTACCTGACCAATACTTTTTCCTCTAGCAGCAGCAATCTCTTTCAACACTTCACAGTCCATCACTTTGTTTGTACCCCAAAGCATTCCTTTCGCTCCCAGTGGAGCGTAAGCAGTGACGTGTATATCTTTTGCCTCACAAAAATCTCTCGTCTTCTTTTGCTGCCAAAGAGGGCTTAACTCCACCTTGTAAAATAAATTACACATTAACATTTTTTTAAAAAAATATTGTAAATTAATGGCAGCTAAAAAGAGAAAAAAAAATCTGTTAAAAAGAGTGAACATGCAGCTCAACTAGGAACGCAATCCAACCCACTCTGACGTCGACCTACCCCCTCCTTTGGGACAGGTATGGGATGCGAAGTTTTATCCCTAACGGAGCATGAGGTGGGGATATGTTTTTTTCTTTTTTTTTAGCCATCCCCGCCCCCACTCTGCTCTTTTGCTTTTAAAAAAAGTAATCTGACGGAGCCTCGTCCCGCCCCATCCCGCTTGAGGTGGGAATGAAGAGCGAAATTTTACTTCAAACGAGGCACGGTTGAAAATGAGTTTTTTTTTTTAGGGACGAGATGGGGATGGCGATCCCCGCCTGCCCCCTTTGCCATCCCTAAGCTCAACTAGCATCTACAAATTAATATCCCACTCACTTGATTGACAGCCGGGGGAATCTTTGCCGTGGCAAGTAAGTTCTCAAGCTTCTTGCAGGAAAAATTGCTTACACCAATGGATTTTGCCAGGCCAAGGTTTTGACACTCCTCCATAGCTTCCCACACAGACTTGAAATCCATTGGAAGAAGGTCCTTCTCCTTCACGGGCAGCTCATATTCTCCTGGCTTTGAGCTAACAGGCCAGTGGATTAGGTACAGATCTAGATACTCTAGTTGAAGATTCCTGCAAGATCACAAAAATAATGAAAAATATATAAAACAAGAACATCTAAGGAGGAGAATTTCCACAAGTAGTTGGATGGGTCGTGGATTTACTTGAGTGTTTTTTGTATAGCAGGGAGGACATGATCTTTATGTCCATCACAACACCAAAGCTTGGAAGTGATAAATAGCTCATCTCGAGATTTGATTAAACCTAATCGTAAAGCATCTGCTATTGCTTCTCCTAGAGGCACTTCAGATTGGTAAAGAGAAGCAGAATCAAAGTGTCGATAACCTACTTCTATTGCGTTAAGAACGGACTCTTTCATTGTTTCAATCGAAACGCCAAAAGGATATTCCGCAGTTCCATAACCTAGGAGAGGTATGGTCCTACCAGTTGAACCGACGGTGGAAATTGGAATATTAACTCCCATTTTACCTACAGATTGTCAAAAATATCGTACCAACATTGCACATTTATAGAGTGAAGAACTAGCTAGGTAATAAAAATTTACTTGGAAGGTAACACAACAAATTGAAGATCTCTTTCCACGAAGCTGCGATACACGATGATGTGGACTGTACGTACTGTTTTAAATATAGTATGTTTAACTTTAATGATTAAGGTTCTCTAAACTTGATTAACATAATATAACTTGCCATCTCAAACCACTTTTTCTACCCTTTTCAGGCATAATGAGTTGGGAAAAGCAGACCAGTATTCATGTAACAACATGGTGGAAAAAATCTTTATTTCCAGAAGAACATGATTATTCTATTTGTAAGAATAAAAAAATAGTTACAGCTAAATTGAATGTTTTAACCACCTTATTTTTATACTTAGATGTCCACATTCAATTGACTGGTCTTTAGTTTGAACTAGTACCGTAGAATATTTGGAAAGATGACGGAGGTTTTTGAATTTAAATAGAAAGAGTGTAGTGGGATTTCCACGAAAGCTACCTAATCCGAGAATATATTACCTTAATCCTTATAAGAGCAGATGGTTATAGGAATAAGTATTGTATTATTGCTTGGTAAAACTTTTGAGATTATATATAGTAGCTGGTTACAAGATAGAGTTTACCGTAAAAGAAATATGTACAAGAGATAACAAGATATAACAAAAGGATATGAGTCAGTTGCAAAGAGATAATGCTCTCTGGTGATAGAGCTAACTAACGCAGTCCGTTGTTGGCTTAACACACCCCCGCAAGATTGAGGCTCCATTAGAGACTCCAATCTTGGAGCAAAGATCACCGAACCGTTGTCGGCTTAAGGTTTTTGTTAGGACATCCGCAAGTTGATCTTTTGTGAAAATATGATGAACTTTGAGGGCACCGAGTGGCCACACATTCTCGCACAAAGTGATAGTCAAGAGAGACATGTTTCATTCGTGAGTGGAATGCTTGGATTTTCACAAAGATATGTAGCACTTGTATTATCACAATAGAGAGATGCTGACAGAGGCAATCGGATGCCTAACTCGAAAAGCAAGTTTTGCGGCCATATGAGTTCGATATTAGTGTCGGCTACTACATTGTATTCGAGCTTACGAGGAGGATTGAGAGACATATTTTTTTCGTTGGATTTCCATGAAATTGCATTAGGTCCTATGTAGATTATATATCCTATTGTGAAGCGACCATCATCGCAATTGCTACCCCAATCCGAGTCGCTAAAGCCTTTTAAATGCAAGGTAGCTCCCTTTCGTAAGAAGAGGCCATGATGGATTGTACTTTTTAAGTATCGAAGTACATGTTTCAAGGTCGTCCAATGTAACTCGGTGGGCGAGTGCATGAATTGAAAGAGTCGATTGATAGCAAAGGAGACATCCGGACGTATGAGGGAAAGATATTGCGGCCCACTAATGAGTTTTCGATATGGTGTTGGATCGATAGGAATAGTACCATCTTTCGGTAATAGATGGGTTGTGTGACATATGGGAGTGAAGACTTCCTTTACACCTTTCATGAAGAAAGTGTTAAGTAGGTCGGTGATGTGTCGATGTTAGGTGTGAATGACTTTAACGTTTAGGAGCTGGTAAAGCTCCCCAGATCTTTCAAAGAGAAATGCCGAGTGAGCTACATAACAAAAGATTCCGGAAAGGTATTAGTGTTGCCAATGAGGATAATGTCATCAACATATATCAAAAAATAAAGACATATGACATCCTTATTATAAATAAAGAGAAAGGTGTCAACAAGTGAATTTGTAAAGCCTAATTGCAATAGAAAGCCCTTGAGTTCTTGGTATCGGGCCCTTGGAGATTGTTTTAGGCCTTATAATGCTTTCTTCGACTTACGGACATGATTCAACGAGTGAAGGGTGGATAAAGCCTAGGGGTTGAATCATGTAAACATCATCCGAAAGGGTGCCTTGGAGAAAGGCATTGTTGATGTCTAGTTGGCGAAGTGGCCAATTATGAGCAAGTGCAAGACTAAGGATTACACGAATGGTGGTTGGTTTGGATACTAGACTTAAGGTCTCCAAGTAATCTAAGCCGGGACGTTGATGGTAGCCCACGGCAACAAGACGTGCTTTGTATTTTGTAACTATTCCATCGGGATGCCTCTTAATGCAAAAGACCCAACGACAACCGACCAAGTTATGATCTCCTTGGGGAACAAGATCCCATGTACCATTGCGTATAAGCGCATCAAATTCCTCTTACATGGCTGCGTACCATTGTCTATCTTTCATAACTTCGATAAAGGTTTTTGGTTCGAGGGATGGAGGCATTGGGTGAGTCTGTTGTGTGATTGACAAAATTGGGGTTGTAATATTTCTAGTTTGGTTTTTTAGCATGGGTAGGACGCGAGTTATGTGGGGGTGCTTGGAGTTAGTTGGTGTGGCGAAGTTGGCATGGTTTGGTTTTCTAGTGTAGTTGGAGTTGGGTCTAGTGGAGTGATATTAAGTGTGGGTTGTGGTGTTTCGATTTGAATGGGAGACCGAGTTGGAGGTGGTTGGATGAAGGATGAGGAAAGACGTGCTAATAAAGGAGTACTTACTTATGAATTTTCATAGGAAGACTCTAGTACCGACAAGGATGTAATGAGATGGCGATGTCTTGCTTGTATAGGGAAAACATGTTCTAGAAATTTAACATGACGGGAGACATAAACACGTTTGGAATGTGATCAAAACACTTATAGGCTGATTGACTAGTGGAGTAACCAAGGAATATGCATGGTTTGGACCACGATTGAAGTTCGGAAGTGGTGTAAGGTCGTAGCCATAGGTAGCATAAACACTCAAATATTTTTAAATGATGGTAATTTGGCATTTGCTTGAATTATTTTTGAAAAGAAGATTGAAAGTTAAGAACGGGAGTTAGAAGTCAATTAATGAGATAGACTAGCTGTTTAGAATGCATAGGGCCAATGAGAACTGGGAAGAGTCTGTAGTTTGAAGTAGTGCTAAACTTGTTTCAACAATATGATGATGTTGTCTTTCCGATGTGCCATTGTGTTCGGTGTGTAAGGCGGTGTTTTAAAGTGTGAGATGCCATGAGAGTTAAAAATAAATGCTAAAGAAATGTATTCACCTCCATTATCTCGTGTACATAGTTATAATGGATTGGTGAAAGAATTTTTCTACTAATAGCTTGAACCGGGAAAAAAAATTGCAACCTCTAATTTTTTTGCCATAGGATAAAACCAAATATATTTTGTAAAATGGTCAACAAATATTAAGTAATATCAAAAACCATCGAGGGACAAATCTATAGGACCTCAAACATCGAGTAGATTAATTCAAGTGGCTTAGAGCTATGGAGAGAATTTTTCGCAAAAGGAAGACGGTAACTTTTATTAGAATTGCAAGAATTACAATAAAAATTTGGATCTAATGACAACCTAAAATTCAAAGTACTAGACCAAAAAATAGAGTGGATGATAGGAATTGATGGATGACCCGGACGTTGGTTCCATTCACCGAGGCGAGAGGACATTGTGGTATGATTAACTCCGAGGAGTCATTAAGCTAGGAATGCGAGTAGACATCATTAGTGTTCACCCAGCGAAGCACTCGGTGCCCACGTACGTAGATCCTTCACAAGAAAATATAAAGGAAAGAATTCAATGGAGACATTATTGGACTTGTAAAATTTTGAAACAAAAATCGGATTATTTTTAATTGTGGGTGCACACATAATATCATCTAAAGTAAAAGAAGTATTCTTGTAAACAAGGTTGGTAGTGCCAATATGTGATATCTGTAAACCTGTACCATCACCAATGTGGATTTCATCCGGACCACCATAATCCGAATAATGTTCGGGTTATTGACGTTGCCAGTGACATGGTGTGATGCACCGAATCAAATAGCCATGGTTGAGAGTTTGCTTTATGAAAAGAGGCCATGTTAGTTTGTAGGAGTGGACTCGTGATGAAGGAGAGTGCATAATATTATTGTTCTTGAGAAATCGAGCTAACTTGTGGCATTCTTGAGTGAGATGCCTTGGTATCTCACAAAAGTTACAAAAAGAGTCACAAGAGACAAAGGATTTGTTTCCATTGTGCCTATTGGAGTTCCAATTGTTGTAATTGAAAGAGGAATAGCCATTGCCTCGGTTTGTGTTGTTCGACGCGGAACAATTGGAGTTGCTCCCTAACTTATTGCACCAAGAACGATTTGGGTTAGATTGACGACCTGCATAGTTTGTCTGTTGCAATGTTGAGTGGAGTATTGGTGGTGATTTCGATCACTCGAGGTGTCGCTCAAAGTCCTCGAATTTATCAAGTAATTCATCAAAGGTGATTGGGGTATCACGAACACGGACAACGAGCGGTGATGTGATTAAATTGATCTCTAACTCCTTTAAGAACATGTAGGACCACGTCATCTTCGACAATTGGAGAGTCGGCAATGGCAAGGGCATCGACGGTCGCTTTAACATCCCGCATGTATTCCGCTATAGAACGCGTGCCTTGTGGGTTATCATGAAGTTTTTCCTTGAGAGACATAATGCGAGAGCGTGATGTATTCGCAAAAGGACGGAGAGGCGAGCCCATGCTTCTGCAGAGGAGGAGACAAAGGAGATGTGGGATTGTATTTCAGCCACACAACTCCTTAATATGGCGTTGAGAATTAGTTGATCTTGTCCGTACAAGATGAGAAAGTACGGGTTTACAATGATTTTGGTGGTGTCTTTAGGATCCGTTATTTAGGTAATAGGTGGTGGTTGGTTTCCATCAATGTGGCCAAGAAGATTATGGTCGATGAGCGTAGATTGAAGCCGAGTTCTCCAAACGGAAAAATTTGAGTGGATGAGTTTGGTGGGAAGATGTGAAGGGGCATTGAAGGGGACGATTTGATTTTCAAGAACGAGAGGATGTGGAGGCCATGGATCTTTGAGAGAGCTTTTAAACTATTTTAGGCTCGATACCATATAAGAGCATATGGTTACGGGAATAAGTATTGTATTATTGCTTGGTAAAACTTTTGAGATTATCTACAATAACTCGGTTACAAGATAGAGTTTGCCACCGAAGAGATATGTACAAGAGATAACAAAATATAACAAAAAGACATGAGTCATTACAAAGAGATAATGCTCTCTGGTGATAGAGCTAACTAACGAGTGTGTTGTTGGCTTAACAATCCTTAATTTAAAAAAAAAAAGAAAAAAGAAAAAAAAACAATTAGGATGACAATTACCTCCATTATTATTAATTTTCTCTCTCGCCTATATTTTCAAATTATATATATATATATATATATATATATAAACGATGGTTAGCAACCACCAACCGACACTAATATCCACATATCAACTTATTCAAATATAATTCTCAAAGGGGACAAAAAAACATATATATATATATATATATATATATATATATATATATATATAAGAATAAACGATGGTTAGCAACCACCAACCGACACTAATATCCCTATATCAACTTATTCAAATATAATTCTCAAAAGGGAAAAAAAAACATATTTAAATGTAAACGAGATACCTAGTAAATTATAAATTAATACTTCTAGGTTTGAAAAATAAATTAATTAGTTTTTTTTATTTTAAAAAATTAATTATTTAGTCTTTTTAATATATATATATATATATATATATATAAAGAAGATATTTTTTAAAAAATAAAATAATATTAAATTAAAAGCATTGAATATTGGTTAAAGAAGTAAAAAATTAGTTTTTGAGAAAAGAAACATTAATTAATTTATTTTCCAAAATTAAAAGAACTAATTTATATTTTACTCCGTGATACACGATGATTCTTTCATGTGACCATCTTTTTGTTGAATCAAATATCCTAGTCATGGAGACGTGCATATACTGCCAGTTGCAATCCATTCTGTACGTACAGAAGCTAATATTTTAAGAAGAATGCAATATTATATATAGCTAGGTAGGTACGTGGGGTGATCATAAAAAATGATATGTCTAATTATTAGGCTCAATTAAAATAAATTTAATCTTGTTACATATATGATAATTGACCATAAGTACCATGCATGATTATTGTAAAAATAATAATTAATATTAGTGGGATAAAAATTTAAAGATACGATCTCGAATCTGATGAATTCATCAAAAGCAAAATCTGATGAATTCTGCAAAATGTCAAACACGTAAATAATTAAGAATTTATATATTAATTCTCTTCACAATATTGAGATTTAATTATATATATAATGATATGAAGATCTTACAGCTAATATTGTACCAAAGAATCAATATGAATGTGCGAATGTGCTGCCTTTTATACTATCCAGCCCATATTGGGAAGATACGTCTCAGTTGACTATGTAATCCCCAGTTAGTGGGAATTGAGCATTTGGAATTTGTAATCCCCATTTAGTGGCTGCCTTTCTCAACTTCTAAAGGAACTTTCACATGTATACAAACACAGAACAAGAAACACTCCAGGGAGGGGGAAAAAAACAAAAAATGTAACAGAAGTTCGTGTTGCATTTATCGAAGAATAATCTGTAGCCACTACACCAATAGTTCTGAATCCGGATATACAAATGCAATTATTGGCTGATTAGCACAACCAACAACAGCTCACTAAAACCCTGAAGTTGATGAATCTTGCATAGTATGTTCCAGGTGCACAAGAGACTTGGATCTATATCTTCTAAAATCAAGGTTATTTACAGTTCTATCAGATTAATCATCACGATGAGAATCCTTCTCCGCAACATGGTGATCATTACTTCTCAGACTCTTAGCTGGTCCTTGGAAGGATAAAGAACTCTTACAGTTTGTCGCAAGAGTTAAGAACTGTATTTGGACTCTATCATTCAAGATTGGCTGATGGCAAGGAGCATTTGTTTCGGACCTGACCTCGAGTTCCAGTCAAGACACCAGTGTTTGACATCTTAACCATGGACCTGGAAAAGTCTCTTCGAAAGGTTGTTCCATCATCCGAAGCATAACCCCTCACAAACCTTGCAGTATTCTCATCAGCCATCAATTGTTGATCAACAAATAGAAGTCCTCTACCCCTCAACAAATTCTGATAGTAGTGGTTATCAAAACGTGCTCCAGATGGTATAGAAGCAGATAATCGTTGGAAAATCATTGCCGAACTGGAGTTCCTCATCTCCCTTGATGTCATGGAAGCTACAGTTCCATCATCATTGGTGCTGTTGCTATCCTGGCAAGCAAATCTCAATTCATTTAGGAAATCAGGATCTATAGAGGCATCTGGTTGTCCTGTCCCTGAAAAGTTGGTGAAGCGATTCTGGATGAAGTCACAGTTAATTTTTCCCACATTATGAGCACCTACAGAATCAAGAAATTTACTCAGTCCATGATCGATTCTATCATTTCTTCAAAGACATAACAAGAAATAGAGAGAAAGATGCAAAGGACCTAAGAGATTGACTGTTTCTCTTTCATCAAAACCTCTGCGGGAAAAGAGGAAAAGTGTTCGGGTGATGTTATCATTGGGCTTTGGAATCTCGTCCATGGCTTCATCAAAGTAGGATTCGGTACTGTCTCTCCTGCCTGTAAAAACTGGATAAAATGGACCACCAGCCTGCAAGATCAGGCAAGAATGAACACCATGAGCATACTCGATAATGATGCATGAATGGCCCTTCGATGGTGAAGAAAAAGCAGGAACTTGCTAGGAATGATTCAGTTCCTTATTTCAGAAATTTCAATAAACAAACAGAAGAAAAAGGAAGGGAAGTGATGGAAACTTGAATTAAAATAACAAAGGTCCTAATGCTGATCCATCACCTTTAAATGTTTGGGATCACAGACTGCAAAATTTGTTATCTAACTGAGATTTTCACTTGAGGAATCAGATTCAGATACTTGTTGTTAATGAAAGCTCTTCCTAAGCTTTTATTTTTTCTCGAAACAGAAACAACTAAAACCTAAAGAAAACCAACTTTGATTAGTTCAATACCAAACTCAATGATGAAAAGATTGCAGCTACTGAGTGCTAAATCCATATAAACAAAACAAAGTAGTAGAACAGACCAGCACAATAGCATCTCTGGTGGCAAGTGCGAGCGTATCAGCACAAGAAACCACTCCTGGGCATGCATTGTCAAGCTCCTCCTTGATTGTTTCAATCTCATCAAGACCCCTCAAGCTCTTGTTCGGAGCAGCCTGCCTCTCAATGGAATGGTTTTTATTCCCATTTCTGTCATCCAAGAAGACTGAAGCATCGCAACCCTGCTTGCAGTGATCCCACAAGATCAGTAATCAGTAGCAATAGCAAAAGCATTACTATGAATCAATATCCAGTTACATACAATAACAAGAATTCATAGTGTTAATAGCAGAACTCAGCATCCAGATCAAATTTATGATTATCTGCCTAAGAAATTAACATTAGGGAATCCCAATCAATGATAGCTCAACACGAAAAGTGTCTCAACAAAGAATTTAAAGAACGAAAAAACTGAAACCAGCCGAAGGAATGATTGAAGCAAGTAATCTAAGGCCAATACAGACCTGAATAGTTAAAGAGCCAAGTAGCCAACTGCATACAGAAATATAACACCTGTTGAAAACTAACAAACACTAGGCAGGCACGCTTTGCATATAAACAAAACATACTACCACAAGAACAAAATCCCATTCCGATAAGAACCCTACAATCATCAACAAACAAGAAACCAAAATCCCCATTTAGGAGCAACTGTACTGTGATCAAACTCCCTCAAAGAACAGAAAAATTACAGAGAATCCACAAACCACTTGACAAAACCCTCAAAGTACAACAACAAAGAGACCCCAATTGAGCATTTAGAGAAAAGACAAGGCACATAGATTTAAAGAAAAAAAAACCCAAAACCCCACAAAAAGAATCAAGAAGAAGAAAATTGCATACCTTGATGAAGCAATCATGGAAAAGAAGCCTTAAAAGACCAAAAGAAATATCATTTTGCTGTAAGTAAATCCTTGCCATTGTTGATCTAACAATAGACTCAGCTTGTGCACATTTCTGCCGATAAAAATCGTATTCAAGACCGTGAAGCTCAAAAGATGAAGAAACAACACCTCCTGGAGAACTTGTGGCACTCTCTCTTTGTAAAAAAACAGAGAATCTTTTCTCTTCTTTTTCGAGCTTCTCTCTTCTAGCCCTCTCCTCCTCCTCTATTTCATAGGGAAATTTTAAAGAAAGAATCACAGAGATTATGAAAATAACTATGAGTGTCTTTGTCTTTCTTTTCATTAACGTTGCCATTTTCTTTCTTCAATCAATCAAGTTCTTGATTTTCTTCTCTTTTCTTTCAAGAAGCGGGATGAGGGATGGGGAGTGAGGGTTTTGTTGGCACCGAGAGAGGGCGGGAAATGGAGGTGAGGTCGTTTCTTGTTGAATTGACATAAATGCCCTACCAAAATAAATTCTTTACACTATGGTTGGCAAGGGGGTTGGTAATTTGGAAGCTTAATGGAATACTTATTGTTATGAACTCTTCTTATGATGCTATCAATTAATGAAAAATGGAAATAATAAAACATATCAAAATATATAGCTTTGTGTATAGTTAACGTAATCGAACATAAATAACACATTTTAGAATCAAATTAGTTTATGTTAAGATCATATGAAACATGTAAAATTATTTTAAAAAATAATTTTAGTTTGATGATACTTTTTATCCGTCTTACGTAAAGGTCGGATAAAACATGTAAAATTATTTTAAAAATTAATGTTAATTTGATGGTACTTATTATGTTATGAATCTATTAAAATATATCAAATCAAAACTATTTTTTTAATTTTGTGTTTAACTAATTATTCATTATGTTTTTCATAATTTTTTTGCTAAAAAGAACACGATTTATTATTTTATATTCGGATTCTTAACTAAAAACTTATGAAAAAATTCAAAAATCCATGGATTCTTAACTAAAAACTTTTCTTATATTTTTTTTAAAAAAATCTAGGACAAATTATCTAAAAAACACTTTTAATCTTTAGATTAAATCTATATATGTTGTAAACTATTTTTTTTAAATGTAATATATATATATATCATGAGGGAGGAAATTACAATACAAATAAAGTTGTGAATTGAAATAAAATTTATTGAAAAAATGAGGGACTAAAAAATAACATGAGCAAAACTTTAAGCATACAATGCTTGAAAAAAAAATCTCAAAATTACCCAATATATATATATATATATTCAATGCACATTAAAGAGAGGGTGAATAATATTGTGAATAAAATAAATACCTAAAACATATTTAAAATAATGAAAATATAACTACCTTAAAATCACAAAAATGTCATTAAGTGAATAGTGTTATTTAAGAGTGTGAATAATATAAAAAATAATAAAAACTCCGTCTCTTTTAGAGTTTTAATATCAAATCACAATCAAATTTTCTACAGTCCAAGAAATATAGAAACTAAAGAGGGTTATATATATATAACCCTTTTTAGTTTCTATTCCAACCTTATATGACCACGGGGAATAACTTCACCTCCTCAATCAAAGGCCATATTAGTGGCTCTTTGTGCAATCGCATAACGATTGCTTTGGCAATTGTTGTGCAATGGCCAAAGCAATTGATTTCAAATTTTTATTTATTTTTTTAAAACAATTTTGTTGTTGAGTCAATCTGTCATGGGTGATTGGACTTAAACTTTTTTCAACATCCTTAGACCTAATACAATACTCTCGCAATTGTGATAGCAAACTAAGAAGATATATTTTCATACTAACAAATGGATCATGTGACCTAACGAGCATTTACGTATTTTGAGAACTTATTATTATGCATATGTTAGGAATAACATTGTAACTACCAGCTATGATTAATAAATAATATACTAGGCATAATATATCATAAATCTCGCAATATCTCGGACAATTTCTTATATTTAATATCTTATTATCTCAAATCTTTCAATTAGTATATAGTCGATCTCATATTGTATATCTATAATTACATCCATGCCATTCTTAAGTGATACTTCTTTCAAGCAATATTATTGGTAGGCCAATATACTAAATATATTTTTCTTTCTTACTCAAAATTCTTAATTCAAAATTTATCGCTTTTCTAAACCGAGTTTCATAGATCAAATCATACAAGATCACCAAAAAACTAGTTAAGATAGCAAACACTAAGCCTAAATCCTAAATAATAGTAAAAAGTAATAAGGGCATTAGTTGAAGGATATATTATTTCTTTAAAGATTTCACGCAGTGAAAAAGTATGGATTCATTCCCACACTACCTTTTGCAATCATATTAGCACACGTGGTATGAATCACATGTTACAATATTCCTAGTTGTCACATTTTATATACACCGTATAGATCTTAGTTCAATCGTCAAACACAAAACGACTAACCATAGTTCTCAAGGTGATCTCTCTTGAAAAGTATAATCACCAAGATCTCAAATCTAGCTTTCATAGGTTATTTGGATCAATCTTTTCAAATCGATTATAAAATATACACTTGTTTATAATCCCATCTTAATTTTACATTAAGGAAACACTTTCTTATTCTTATCTACGCCCAACTCGCTCTCAACAATATTATAGGATTTTTGTCTCATCTCTACTCACTCCAAACAACACTAAAGACGATTATTCGTGTGAGAGAATCAATTTAAACTTGTATGAATTTTAAAGTTCAACTTTATCATAGTAACATACAAATAATGTTTGTGTGAGTGTGTGAGTGTGTGTGTGTGTGTGTGTGTGTGTGTGTGTGTAAAGAAACATAAAATTGCATTCATAAAAGAAGTAGTACAACATACAAGTTTAACTATTTATTATTATAACAAAGCTATAATCTATGCATTCCAAAAGATTTAACATGTTGAAGAAACACATCTCTTCATATGTATTTTGTGAGAAGATTTGTTATCATTTCATGTATAGATATATAATATGAGCACTTCACATTTTCCAATAATGTCTCTAATGTAGTTGTACTTGGTGTCAATATATTTGGTTCTACTATAATACTTAGGATTATTGGTACAAGCAATAGATGTCCGGTTATCACAATAGACTATAATAGACCCCGATCTATCACTATTAACTTCCAAATCCTGAAGAAATCTCTTAAACCAAACTACTTCTTGCACAATAGCTAAACTTGTTATAAATTCATCCTCCATATTAAACAAAGCTATGTAAGTCTATTTCTTAATACTCCAAGATATAGCACTATTATTGAGTAGAAAAACATAGCTATAAGTGGATTTGTGTTCATCAAGATCTTCTTTTCAATTAGCATTTGAGTATCCGAGTCAAATGTAAGTCTTTTCCTTGATAACACGAGATAATAATCCATGGTGCTCTTGAGATATCTCGGGACCTTTTTCATAGCCTTCCAATGCTCTCAACCAGGATTTGACTAAAATCAACTAGCCAAACCAATAACAAAATATATATACGAGCGAGTACACATCATTGTATACTCAAAACTTCCAACTACGTTTGAATATAGCACTTTAGACATCTTTGCTTTTTCTTGTGGAGTTTTTGGACAAATTTCATTACAAAAGCCTAGCCTTTTGACACAGGTGTCTACAAGCTTACAATTACCTATATGAAAGCATTCTAGAACATTTTATATATAATGCTCTAGTGATAGAGCCAAAAAGTTCTATAAAACAATCTTTAATGATCTTCACTCCTAAAATATAGTTTGTCGTATCCGTGTTTTTTGTGTCAAAATTCATGAATAACCATGCCTTGATAAACATGACAAAAACTTTATTATCCCCAACTATCAAAATATCATTAACATATAAAAATAGAATTGTAAACTTTTCTTCATTTTTTTTAACATAAACATAATGGTCCTTATTAATCATTTTAAAATTATAAGTCATTATCATCTTATGAAAACGAAAGGACCATTGTCTTGATAATTATTTCAAACCATAGATACATCTTTAGAGCTTGCAAACTTTGTGCTCTTGGCTTTCAATAATAAAACTCTATGTTATTCCACGTAGATTTATTCATCTAGCTCTTTATGAAGAAAACGCTTTTTCACATTTATTTGATGCAATTCTAAGTCTAAATGTGCTACAATGGCTAAAATTAATCTTATCAACAAAAATAACAACATAGAAAAAGATTTTCTTATAGTCTATACCTTTTTATTAGGTATAACTTTTAGCCATAAAGCAAGTTTTATATCGGTCAAATGATCCATTTGCCTTTCATTTTATTTTGAGAACCCATTTGTTCCCAATTGCTTTATGGCCCGATGGAAGATCAACTAAACTCCACATCATTCAATTCATCATGGATTTCATTTCCTCTTCTAATAAAACCTTTTATTTATCTTTGGCAAGACATATCGGTACCTCTTTTACTATTCTAGACTCTTCATCGTCTTATGGGATTACAATATAGGCATCATTCTTAAATTTAAATTGTTTTCAAGGAATTCTCGGTTGATTGTTTATATGTAAATAAGAATCATCACTAACACTAATTGAAATTAGATCGTCCTCATTCCTCTCATTCAATAAACATAGTCATAGTGTACTATCAAAGCTTCGCTAGGAAGAAGAGAGTCTTGTAGAACTAGTTATACGTCAACTTTTGGTTGACTTACAACATTACAACAAAACAAGCAATTATCGATCGATTATGTTTCATCGTTAATTAATCATTGAATAGTGACCAAATAGCGACGAAATTGAAAATGCAGCAATTTATGACGGATCGACAACGAAACATTAGCGATGGAAAAAATTATGCTAATGTCGATGACGAAATTGCGATAGATTAACGAGGAAATTTAGCAATGGATTACCGTTTACATTGCTAAAAACCATCATTTGATTGCTAATGAGTGACGGAATGTGCTATGTTGCTAATTTTCCACATTTTTAAAAACTTTAGGCAATTGGACGCTAGTTTAAATTTCAAATTAGCGACGGACACTTATGTTCATCACTATTTAGCGACGTAATAACGATGGAATCGCATTTGTCACTAATCCTAAATTCTTAAAACTTCTAACCCTTTTCTTTTTCCCTAAAATTTTCCTCCTTTCCCTCGTCTCCTTCTCTCCTTCTCTCCTTTCGTTGCCCCCAGCAGCCTCTAACCATTGCCCCACGCCACCTCACTCCCTCCCCGACCCACTCATTCCAATGAGGTGCCCCTCTCTCCCTAAAGACCACTTTGAAACTACTCGTGATAGTCTCTCCTCTCCGTCCACTCCTTTGGTTAGTTATCTCTCTTTTATTT